CGTTCCAGATGTCAAAAGGTCATTATCTCATGATGTCTTTAGGAGTCTTGCAGGATATGAATTATCCAATTAACAAATTATATACACGTCTGCACATGAGCGCACATACATTTCTTTATATGAACTAACACACCAACATCCTTATCGTTTCTTAGCTAATGCATGCTGGATATGAACCACTAACTAACAAGACTTTAACTGTATTATATCTGAGGAAGCCCTCTCTTGGAGTTCCTCTGACCTTTACCAATTTACTTAACATGGGTAAACCTTATAACACAAAAGTGGAAGAAAAAACCATTTGCGCTAATCTACTTTTTAGGAATATATATAAAAAACCTCTATAATTAAGAGGAAAAAATTGACTCGTCCATTCAAGTTTAACACGCATCCTATATATCAGGTGACATTAAAATGAATATACCAAATAATAATACGCTGTATTAAACTTTCTGCTATAACACGTTACTTTAAGATGAACTTTTGTTATTGATCAAATACTTATTTTCCACCGTCATTTGCAAATACATTCTTTAAAAATCAGACAATGTGATTTTCTGGATTTTTTGTTTTTTCTCTCATAGTTGAGGTATACCTAGGATGAAAATTACAGGCCTCTCATCTTTTTAAGTGGGAGAACTTGCACAATTGGTGGCTGACTAAATACTTTTTTGCCCCATTGTGTATATATAATTTACACAGTGCCTGTAAACCGGAGGAGAACGCTGGCATTTCTCCTCCTACTTGAAAGACTACGGAGGGATAGGGTCTGCAAAATTAGTTTATTTTGGGGATTGACTGGATGCTCTGACCGGTCCTCTTCCTGTCTGGCGCTATGCAACGCCTCGCGTCGCCTAAAAAATAGACCAGCCACCTATTTTTTGCCGAGACGCTTCTGGGACGCTTCTAGTCGTAACGCGGCGCGTCTGGTGGAATTGGTCCCTTCTTTAGTAGGATGCATTTTGTTCAAACCATTTCTAAAAGACAAACGGTTTCAGCAGTCTATTTTCCTAATTACGTGTTTCTCTTTCTCTTTCTCAGGATGCTGAAGTTCTACCTGAAAACGTTGTGATGCTCAAATGTGTTCCTAGATCCCTATCTTACACAGATATCAAGGATGCTGTGGAGCAATTTGGAAAAACAAAGTCAATTGTAATGTTTCGATCCACATGTGAGGTATGTTTAATATGCAAAAGATACTATACAATGTAAGTTTCCTCTTGACATCTGTTGCTTTTATCCACAGTGCTTGTATAGCATTGACCAGGGAATTAAACCCCTAATCTATCTGCAAATAAATCTATACCGGGGTTGAACATTTTATACATTTGAACATAAAGTCTTGTGCACTTTAAGAGCAAAATAAAAGGGTCCGATCTTTGATGAACCTGTTGTAAACCATTTTAGGGTCATCATTTTTTTAACCGTTTATTCATAAACTCATCGGTAGTACAAAATAGATTCCCAAATCTAATCCACTGATGCCTTTGTTTTAAAAGTAACATACACATATGTGCTTTTGTGTATTTGCCCATGTAGGTAGTGGTGCGTTTCGAGAAAGCAGCAGACCCGAAATTAAGGATCCTTGAGGACTTTGTGGTGAAAGGAAATAGGCTCGTAATTGGCAGTGAAAAGGTACCGCCATTTTTGACTTTCTGTCCCTGGATTATGTAAATGTTCTCATTTCTTTGCTCCAGTTAAAATCACAAATCTAAATTATTTTGTTTACAGGAGCACAGGATTCCTCGTCAGAAGTAAGATATATGTTTTACTCTGATCTCTTTTAACCGTTTTTATTATCTTTATTACTACAAATATTGTTATTTCCTTAGTTTATTTATATCCTTGTTGAAAATAAAAATGTGCCAAATGATGTATTTATGTTTCTTTGCGCAGGGGATGGAATAATAAACAACATAAAAAAACTAGGGCTGTCAAGTTAATGCCATTTTTTATTTATTTTTTTAACGCCACAAATGATTTTAATGTGCGATTAACGCATGTGCATTTGTCGTCGTCCCGCACCGTAGTTTCAGAGACCAAAGGCTTGGCGTTGTCGTTAGTTGGATGGTGGGAGATTCTAGCGAGAGATATGGATAAAAAAAATAATATTTTAAACAGCAAGCAAAGCCCACAGCTGATGCTGACAGCCCCGCTCCTGCCGCTCGCTTGCGGCAGGCCACACTTTAAAGTTTGCAACAACAGCGATAGCTAAATGGGTGGCTACAGCTTAACATAGTGGAGGACGAGGGGCTGCGTTAGATAATTCGGATCGCATCCGACGTGTCGACTGCACCTCACATCGCATTATTTTGACCTTAAGTGGGAACTTCAGTCTCATGCTTTGACTGGTATGAAGACAGAGGAGCGGCATTTAGCTGACAACTGTAAACAGGCTTGTCTGTTTGAGCAACTGGCTCAGTGCAGAGAAGTAGACAGGGTTGGGAGAGAGTGAAGAGAGAGAGATGTTCCAGGTTGTTGTATTGAAAATATTCAGGAGAATATTTGTCATTGTTCCAATGATAATAAAGAAACATTTGCATAAAGCATATTTGTCCACTCATATGTTGATAAGAGTATTACAAACTTGAAAAATATTCCTCTAAGGTACATTTAGAACAGATAAAAAATGTGCGATTAATCGCGATTTAACTATGGACATCATGCGATTAAATATTTGAATCGACTGACAGCCCTAATAAAAACATTAATACCTTGATTCTCAATTTCTCAATTTTCTCCTGTTTAACCCATGTCATTATTTTTCCTTTACAGAAAACCTGCCACATCCGAGTCCTCCAGACCTCAAACTACAGCTAACACCAAGCCTCTTCAGAAAGACCTTAAAAAATCTCCTGGAGCTGCAACAGGAAAGCCTACCAACCAGAAAAGTGCAGCTAAAGGCCTAATGGGTGCCACTAAAGCCAAAGTCTTGGTTTCCAAAGTGAAAAACGTCTCTACCAAGCAGATAACTAAAACTGGAAAGGTTCCTGCGAAGGGAGCTGTGAAAAAGACTGTGGTGAAGAAAAAACCTTCCACAGCTCCAGAAAAAGAGCCTGATGTCGGAAAACCATCTGAAACCACAGTTCAAGAAGCTGTGCCGAAAGACACACCTACTATTGTTGTTGAGGATGATGATGATGAAGATGTGATCCTTATTGAACCCCAGGAAGAACGTGACAAAGCTAAAGATGCAGGAGATGCTAAACCAATGGAGGTTGAGGGATTGGGAGTTAAAGTGGAAGAACTTATGGATGTTGAAAGTTGTTCCCATGAAGAAACTACTACAGAGGCTGTTCCAGAAAACTCAGCAGACAAATGCAGTGAGAGTGAACCAGCAGAGGGGACCCAGCCGATGGAAAGCTCTCTCAAAGCTTCACCAGAGGTCAAGCAGAGCACCGTCAAAGAGCCAGAGTCCACTGCTGAAGCATCGGAGACCAACACCGAGGCTTCAGATGCTCAACAGGAAACTGCAGGAAGCTCCACCGAAGCACCTGTGGATTCACATCTTCCAGAAGTAGAGGTGGAGACGAAAGCAATTCAGAAAGGTACGTTTGATAGGGACTTGTTTATTTGGCACTTGGCATATTTTTAATTTAATATTTCATTCCATGGGTTAGGGTTAGTTAACCAGGGCTCGACAGTAACGGTTGCCAGGTTGCCATTGGCAACCATTCATAAAAAATGTCAACCACTTATTGGCCTTTGTTTGCCATCAGTGGCAAGCAGTTTTTAACATAAAGAAACAAGGACAGCAAACAGCTAAATGTGCACCCCAAAATAGATAAATGTTAATTATTTGTTGTATTAAGATTGATATTTAATTATTGTTGTGACCAGTCGGAACCTGATACTCAAGTTGCACGTGCATTGGTGTGATTACGGAGCCAGAAAGCGGTGCGCCGTGTGTTTGTTTTACAAAAAATGGCGAAGCAAATTAAGTTGTTTGACTGTGGGGTAAAAAGTTCGGCCAACATTCGGGTAACATCTCAAACGAATGTTCAAAGTGATTCAACTGATAAAGTGCGAGGTGAACCCAAACGAAAAGCAAAGGGGACTGTTGTCCATTCACTTCCGGTAAAAGTTCCTTCAAAATAAGAGTCCCGATCTTATTACTACCAAAATAAAAGTGCAAAACGAAACTTTACCATAGGAAAATATTGGCATACAAATATGATCATTTCTATAAAAAGGTAACACATTTTAAATATAGTTAGACATATGAATAAATAATTTACAGCATTAATAATTAATATCTAATTCTTAACTGTGAATGGTTTTCATTTATTTAACATTAGAAATGTATTAGTCTGGCCAATCCAAGACTTCGATGCTGAAGGGGCAATGGATCTATGGTGTTCATTTGAAATGACCAAGAAACTAGTGACTTGCTCAATTCATTTGTGAGGGATCTGTGAAGAACATGACAACAGCTGCACTACTGTGATTTAGTATACCAGCAATTTAGGGTGGACAAGTTTACTGCCACTTAAGTTTCAATTCATTGTGTTAATTACTTATTGTAAAGCATTTGAACATTCTTTTGTGTCACATGTTCATTATTAAGTTGATGTATAACTGTATAGTATCTTAATTATTTAAAATATAAGATGTCTAAAAATGGCAACCGTATGTTCAGTTTTGGCAACCAAAAGCTGATACCTGGCTGCCAGCCTGGCAACCACTTTTAAAAGTTAGCGGTGAGCCCTGTTAACTCTAAATGTAAATAATGTCCTGTTTTACATCGTGCCTAAAGCCGTT